ACACACACACACACACACACACACACACACATATATACATACATACACACACACACACACATATATATATACAGATACACACACACATATACACACACACACACACACCCAACACAAACCTAACACACATACATAGGCTAGATACATAAATATACTTGCACGGGCGCACACACACACACATTAATCACTGTCTCTTTCCGCCTTTGAATACAAGGTGGAAAGAGGAAAACTTGAGAGATCATAAAGTTGTTGCTATATGGAACAAAAGTATGACTGAATCTAGATGTTCTGCTTCAGATACCATGAAGCCTCCTCCCAAAAGATAATCTTCAAATATAACACTAATTATACTCAAGCCCAGATGTTGCCAAATATAACACTAATTCCCATATAGCCTGTTTTTTTGGCTGAAAAACAATTTCCCCTCCTATTTCATTAACTCACCTATCCATTATTCCCAGCATTTGCTTACGAATATCCTGGGCACGACGTAGTGAGCGGGCTTGGATAAAATTTTCATAGCACCAGGGATTGGAGAACTTATTGTTCTTCCAGGAGTTGTAAACAGCCAAAAGTGTGAGATGATCTCCTTCAGTTTGGTGGAACTTAGCTTTCTTCTGGTCAGCAAGTGCTTGCTTGTCCTACATATATGAAATAAAATTAGCCTTATGTAATTTATTCCTTTCAAGTATAAAAATATAGATCTTTCTAGAGTGGTAAATATATTTTGTGATGCAATGTTAGTAAGTATATTTAAACCAGTCATGTGCAAGAAAGGGATAAAAGAGAATTTTAAAATAATGTGAAAATTTCAAGCGTGTGTGTTTGTGTGTGTGTGTGTATGTATCAACATGTCCACCATCCTTTTACATTACTTTGACTTAGGAAAAGAAATGCTTAAAATTGAAACTGAACAAAAGTTGCACATTTCAGTATTACCCTACTCTGTGCTATTGGAGGATATGTTATTGGAATTAGTGCTCTTTCCTCATCTGCATTACATTAGATTTTAAAAACCTAACAGAATTGATGTGTAACTTATTAAAGTTTATTAAAAAATAAGTAAGAAAGGTAATCAAATAAAGTCAACTTAAATAACATCTTCTAAAATCAAGAAGCTGTTGCATGATAAAGATAAGGATGGAAATCAAGTTTCCCATTCCCACATCAAGTCTGCACTTTATCAGATCAGCCATTCTTCTCCCATGCCCTGGTCCAGCTGCAAGCAGAGCATGGCTGCTGTGTAACATGCAATCTTTTTCATTCCAATGCTTCCCAATTTACCTTTGGTCGATAGAAAACATTTTGCACAGACAGCATTGAGACAATGGTGAGCATTTCCTCACTGCAACCTAGGTGCACTGACATAATGAGCATCTTGCAAAGCATAGGCTCCAGTGGGAACTCCGCCATCTGCCAGGAAGGAGAAAAACATAATTTGGTTGAAATATCCCCGAGTAATGTTTAACTTGCAACCCTATGTAAAAAATACACATAGACCAATAGCTCCGTAAGGAAAAACACCAGTCCAGAATAAGGTACTATCATTGTCTGCTACTGCTAAAGATTCCTTCCGTCCCTGCATCAAACCACTGTGTGAGAACCAACAATAAATCTACCTGCTTAGGGGTATATCAAAAATATGTTAACTGTTTCCATCTATAAATGTTCCAATAGGTTTCCACCTATAACTGTTAACAGATTTCACAAATAGTTGACACCAGTGCGCTGCACAGACAGGCATCCTGTATACACCGCTTTCCCGAAGGCTACATTATCTTGGTTATTACTTTCCTTTGTTCAACCACACACTAAAGAGAATCTGAACAATGCTGATCCTACCCTGCGCCCCAGTCGAGTGAGCAGCCCTTCATCATCCAAAGCTCCCAGGGTATACAGTTGCTCCATTGCAGTGATCAGAGTCTCCATTGGTGGGGCATCCATGAAATCGAAAGACAGCAAATCATTGATACCCATAGCCTTGAATGTATCAGAGGGGAAGAAAAGATAACAAGCATTGTTCACACATCTGGCAACTTACAAAAGTTACTTCCTAGGCCTGCTCCCCAAAATATTACTCTCAATTTTATATATTAATTTGTATGAAATCTCCCAATTTCTTTCTTTAAAAAGACAGCTGGCAAGGCTTTTTTTTTTGGAAGATGTTGAACAAAAGCCTGAAAGTCATTTATGTGCCAAAGCTCACCTTAAGAGATAATACGGTGCTTGCCAGATTAGTTCTCTGAATCTCAGGCACATTGGTGGTCAGCATCTCATCACGGTAGGCCCGCTCTGTGTAGAGTCGGTAGCACTTGCCAGGGCCTGTTCTTCCTGCTCTTCCAGCTCGTTGCTTAGCTTGGGCCTATAGGAATCACAAATTAAAAGATATACAGGGGCATTTATTCCTTCCGCTTACCCCCCACATATTTTAATTTGCATTAAAATTGGACACAGGATGGTTGCAATTCAAGGCAGAAGGAAAATTGAAAAATGGAAGGAATGCAGCAGATATTATGTATAGTAGAATATGACATAGAAGTGAAGTGTTACAAAAGCAGTTCAAGAAGTGCTCTATGGAACTCATGAAAAGATTCTTATATATTCTATATAACATAGACATACATTTAGCATTCAAAGAAGGTCAAGATTCATTTTAAAAACCCTCCTCATCATCGTCTTTTAATGACCCCATAATCCCATGAGGGGTGGGGTCTGGGCAACTGAATGGAGCTGAGTGTTTACTGGCCGGATGCCCTTCTTGTTGCCAATGCGGAACTAAATTCAGTAGATATATTCTCATCTTGCCCAGAGAGAGAAATCTGCCTCTAGCTAGGATTGAACTCATAGCCTCCTGATTATGAGGCAAGAGCTCCACCTCTAGGCTACCGCAACACTCATTGAGTTAAAAAAAAAACCTCCAGCCTTTAAAAAAGAACTGAATGTTAGAGGCTTGTTTGAATCCTGACAAGTGGTTATTCTTGTATAGTGTCAATGACATAATAAACAAAGAGTGCCATAATAGGCCATTTCATGGCAAAAGCTTGGTACACAGAACAGGGTAACAGCACACTTTTAGAATTTATGTACAGGTAGTTCTTGCTTACAACCACTTGTTCAGCAACCATTTGAAGATATGACAGCACTGAACAAGAGTTCCTGTCTGTTCTATCTAATAATGTGTGCTCAGCTTTGCCATCCTCCTTAGCCTTCCTACACCCTGCTGTGCCATCCACCCACCTTCTCTTTTAGCACCCTAGCCTAACTTGCAAGCAACCTTGCACCGGGCATCCCGCACTCCTTACCTGGGACTCTCACCACTTCCCGCTTAACTTATGTGTCTTATGGTTACGAGAGCAATCAGATTACTGGAAATGTCATTGCTAAATGATGTGACTACATGGCATCACACTGCATCATATAGTAACAGCAATCCCAGTGTCATCTGTTGCTCTTCAAAGATTGGAATAAGATAAATACATTCTCATTCACTGTAGAAATTGTGCTGTGTGCACATTACCCTTAGTAAAAGCTTCACATAACATATTATCCAAAAAATACAGGATACCTGAGAAATTGGTGTTACAACCAGCTGGTCAATCCCTGTCTTGGAGTTGTACACTTTCTGCTTTACAAAACCGGGATCAACTACATAATAGATACCATCAATTGTAAGTGAAGTTTCAGCAATATTTGTGGCAATGACCACCTGTAGGGGGACAAAAAGGAATGGCAAATAGTTGAATATAGCAAGAAAAAAGTAGGAGTGAAAACAGGATTACTATTAAACTACTTTTTTGCTGATACAGTAAATATTAAAAGACTGTACTCAAGTCTAAAAGATTGTACTCAAGAGGGAATAACTACATTTTTGGTATTGATGTTGTTCACATAGACTGTGCTGAAGCAAATCCATTACTGTTGCTTTTTAGTTCAGCAAAATCCTATTTGTGACAGCAAACCACAAAAAATAAGCTTAACATTCATAGTACTCTAACATAGAATCTAAATGAATGTGTAAATATCTTCACTGAGAAGATGCTAAATTTATAATCCAATTTTATACCCCCCACCCCCAAAAGACATCTGAAGAATAAAACAGAGGACAGGGATTGAAGTTTTAGGGTTAACTGAGGCTATTAAAATGATAACAAAAAATAATACATACCCAAGAATCATTTTAATTTTTCACTCAATATGTAAACTTCCTGATTTATTTATTTTATTTATATGCTGCCCATATCCCTGTCAAGCAACTCTATTCTGTCTTCAATTTACCATCAAATATCTGCAATTTCCTCTCAGCACCTCAAAAACATCACCTCCCCTCCCCCCTTAATGAAGTGATCAGGAATTCCCATATTTATAGAACAAAAAAAACAATAGGAATTGGAAAATGTCTTCCAGCCTTTTAAAAGGTTTTAAAGAAATATTTCACTTTTGAGAACAAGATGCTCAATAGACCCCCTGATCTAGAAAAGATTTGATTATTAATTATATTACCGTATTTATCGGCGTATAACACGCACCGGCGTATAACACGCACCCCCCATTTTAACACAAAAATTTGAGTAAAA